TTTTTCCCTTCCTATTTCATCTCCTATTTAAGAAAAAAAATATTTTATTTATTTTGGACAAATAAAATTAACCAAAACTTAAAAAAGGGTTTTACATTGGGTAGATATATAATCTGGTCTATCCCAACTGTTTTTGAATATTTTTGACTTTTTTTTTTCTTAGTATTTCTTAGAAAGAGTCGAAAATATTCGAAAACAATTGGGATAGACCGGATTATATATCTACCCATTAATGTAAAACTTTCTTTTTTTTTGTCCCTAGTTGCCGAAATATGACTTTATCAATTTTGCTTATCGTTCATCTTTAAAGACAGAAAAACGAATACTAGTGTGTTTTCCATTGTTGTCGCCAAAGAAACGTAGTGTCGCCAAACAATTTTCCATAACCATAATCAATAGTAATTCAATAAATTAAATAGAAGTGAGAGCTCGAGCGTTTCTTAGACACAAAGGCAGCTCTAGCATAGGCAAGGGCGGACCCAGCAAGAGAAAAGGGAGGTCAACTGACCTGGTAAAATAATGATATAAGCTTTGTTTTGTATAATAATTCTTAAAGAAGCAGCAGCTAATTTGGTAAGTCTGTGTTAAAATGACCTCCCAAACTTGAGTTCGAATCCCAGTTTGACATTTTTAGTTAATTTTTTTCTTTTCTTTTGTTATGACCTAGGTAAAAAAAAATTTTGGGTCCGCTACTGTACATAGAGAAGCTTACAACTGGGGATGTTCTGCCTTTTACATCGGTTTTGTTCCCCATCAAAACAAAGGGAATTCGAAACTTGTCAGGTGTGATAGGATCTGCCTGAAAGTTATAAAAAAAAATTGAGTTAGATGTGTTGCAATTATCAAGAAAAATATCGCTACATCAAATATACAAATAGTTTCAAAACGGTTATGTATCGCAATGAGGAGATGGTAGTGCACCTCCTCGACGAACTGGGCATGCCAGATGTCGAGAGATTCAAACGATTCGAGAATATTAACGTCGTAGACAAGAACACAGCAATTTGCGTCTCGATAGAACCCTGACGTTATACTGTGAAATCTTTCTTGTCCAGCAGTATCCCAAATCTGTAAAACAACATAAGTTTTGGATTAAAAAAAAAGATAAGTTGTGAAGAAAGGGAGTGCTTGACATTTACTTGTAAAGTGACTTGTTCTTTGTCAACGCAAAGCTCCTTGTTGGTGAAATCCATTCCGACTGTATTCATATGCAGCCTCTTAAATTCCTCACCAATGTATCTTAGGTCACAAGTTAGGGTATCAGTGAGAGAGAATTGTAATAGCTTGGAATATGAATTTTAAAGAGGATACCGTTTCGTCAATGATGTTTTGCCTACCCTGCATAAAGAGTTAGAAAAGAGAAATATAACCGAGGAAACGTTTAAAAAGTAATAAAAGTTACATTCCAAAGAAAAGAAATTGAAAATTGAAAACAAAATCGGCATTAAAAGGTGAGAGTGAAATCTCTAGACTTTTTAGAGAAATCTTGAAACATTAGACAAAATTTTAATCGTAACCCGCTATTTCCGAGAAGGATGATCTTCAGCTTTGTTCTTTTCTTCTGAGAACTCATTGTCGAGAAGCGCAAGAAAGAAGCCTACGAGATTGTTCTCTGATTCTTTTTCTGAAAAGTTTCCTATATTGTTTTTGATACTGTTTCTTCTTCATCTTCAGGACATTGTCTACGAAATTGTTTGACACAAAAAAACAAGAAGAAGAGAACGGGTCATAAAGATTTAATCTTTTAAAATTTGAACCAAAACGAAGAGGTCCTTAGGCTTATATCAAGTGTTATGATATTTATTGGGTGATAGGTGGATTAATCTATTTAATACTGTCAACTTAATAAAAGTTTAGCTGGTTGAAACAAAAAATGGTTTGGTAACTTTGGTTGATCAAAAAAAAAGAAAAAAAAACAAAAAATGGTTCTCCATCCACGTCTATTTTTGTTGCGTTACTTCAAGCGCATATTAAACTGAAGAATAACAATTAAAAAGTTCAAACACTATATAAATAATTCTAAAATTTGCGGGTGTTTTTCTTAGTAATTTTCCATAAAGATTGAAATATTCCAAACTTTGTGCTTAATTCGCTTCTGCTCCGGCCTACTCTTTAGTTTCTGTGATCACCTGAAAACCTCGTAAATTATTTGGAAATTTTCTCTTGAGATCGGTTGATTTAACTTTGTAGCTTCTTTTTCTCTATTTCATTCATATCACACAATATGTTAGGGTTTGAGTTTGGTTTTGGGTTGTTTTAGTGTACAATAGTCTTATTAATGGTTGTAGGTTATTGATTGTTCTCATAGTTTCTGATTTATGTACTATTACAATGTTTTTCTTCTTTTTTCTATCAGGTTTGAGTGTACCGGAGAATTGAGTTTGCATCATCATTGCGTTTGTTGATTCTGCACAATGAGTAATGTGTTCCACGAATACGATCGGCAATATAGCGAGCTCTCAGTAAATCTTTCAAAGAAGTGTTACTTGGCTTTTTCACTCAAAGGAGGTAAATGATATCTCAAACCTCTCCTTCGCTTTTTAAAAAATTTAGTAACCGAAACGTTTTGGCGCTGAGGCATAAAAAATTTTCAAGCTATGAGAACTGAGGTAGTTAAATTATCGTTTCCTCTCCGTCACCGATACTTGAACTTGTGATCTTGAAGACTTTTCATTAGTTTTCTTAGAGAAATGTAGAAAAAATAATAGATTTAAAACAACCTTTACATGTTTCAGAATTTTAGAGATATTTTGGTTTGTATTTGATGCGGTATTGTGTTATATACATCGATGATACTTTACTAATTAATTTACAGGAGAGAAGAAGGAGAAGCTGTCTGAAATAACATCTGATCTGGAAAATGCAGAAAAATTGGTAAGTGGATATAGAAGTCTTCTCCATTTTCTCCATTTTTTCTTTTGATGATTTTCTGCCTTTTATTTCACCAGATTTCAAAAATGGATCATGCAGCAAGTAACCTTCCACCCAATATTAAATCCATCCTCCTTGAAAAATTAAGGGAATCCAAATCTAGTCTAAAAAGATTTAAGAGTGATATCAAGAGGAACACATCTGAAAACTTGAATGTTACTACTCGAGAAGAAGTTCTTGAAGCTGAAAAGGCGGTATGTTAGGACAACGGTATAGTTCAATTTAATATAATCTTGATCTTTCTAGTAAAACAAATCTTGGTCTCTTTTTTATTGAGTTAAGGTTTTAGCTGATCAAAGATCAAGATTGATGAAATCAACCGAGGGTTTGGCTCGAACAAGAGAGATAATTAAGGAGAGTCGAAGAAAAATGCTGGAGACCGAAAACATTGGTATTTCAATACTCGAGAACTTGCAAAGTCAGAAAGAGTCTCTCCAACGCAGCCAATCTATGGTAGAATTTTCTCTTACTTCACATTCTGATAAGAGACTACGGTTAGGTTGATTAGGCCACCGGTTAGGATGTTTTAATTAATTAGTTTTGGTGGTTTACTTTATGAGTTTGGTTTTCATAATTTCATTTCTATGTTAAAGTGTTTTTTTTTTTTACGTTTAGGTTAGAATCTAATTGTATCATAGCCTATATAAATATAGGTCTTTATGCTAATGAGAAGTTAACTTCCAAGAATTAACCTTAATTTCCAAAAGAGCTTAGGGTTAAGAGGAAAATGTAGCTTATAAATCTCTTTATTTCTCACGTTAAACAATTGCTACGATTACGAGATCAAAGTCTAAAGCTTTGGCTCGTATCACATTGATTCATTCATTCATATAGGTCCTCTAGCTTTAATTTGTAAATATAATTTTTTCAATATTCCCAACAAAGTTAATTGAACTAGGTGGCAAATAAATGATAATTTAGGGATCTTCCATGAAGTAGACTACTTTTCTTTATCCACTACACCATTGAATTGGCTAAAAACTAGTGCATTTGAACAAGACTTTCTCTTACTTCATATTCCTTGATTCATTATTTATATATATTATATATATTACCAGTAGCTCTTAATTAAATAGTTTGAGATGATTTTTTTGACCCTTGGTATCGCTTTAACCAATGGTATGTCGTTGTTACAGCTTCATGAGATAGATGACAATGTCAAAGAGTGCCAGTCAATAGTGACAACCATGAAGATCAAGGAATTTTTTACAATGGCTGCTGCACCAATTGTTATGTTCGCTTTAATCTTAGTAAAACTCGCCAAGTAAGCCTATGGGCTTCCTAACTTAATCTCAGCTGGCTCTGAACAATTGTTGTGTTCCCTTGTGAATCTTGGATTTATCCTTCTTGTACATGTGTGTGTGTATATCCGATCCACAGGGTCAAATCTTGTATTCAAATGGCAAATGGGGTACGTGGTTCACCATATCAATGTGAATATAAGAACATATAAATAAATAAGTATAATAATATTGAGCCGACATAACAGTACTTTCCTACATGTTGAGCCGAAGTTGATTTTTGATTTTGTACTATATCTTAGCTGTCAATAAAGAAAGAACAAAAAGTTAGAACGACACATTTAATTGGAAAATCATATAAAATGTATATATGTATGTTAGACTTTAGAAACTTGCCATACTTTTCCAAATCAACTTATAAGATCATGTAATGCAGTCGTGCTTTAAACATACAATATACCATAAGGACGCGCAAGAAGAATTCTTGAAACAGGAAAAAAAAAAAAAAAAAAAAAAAAAAAAAAAAAAAAAAAAAACATTGAACTTTATGAATTAGTCAACAGACAAAGCCATGAGGATGAACTTTCCACCTAGAACTCGAAATTAAATCCAATTGACTACAAAATTAAAATAACTTTCTCAACATTTACATATAGTTTACAGAACTTAAACAAAATGTAGAAAAAATGTATTTGTTTAAACCAAATAGATATATAACAACAACCTACTGACTCAAAATCTAAAATTAAACTCTCATTAGACCATCACCATAAAATAACTCATCCAAATAGATTTTTTACGTGTCATCGTAAGCCTAGAATGAGAGGAAGAGGCAGTTGCATAGCCAGAGATGATTTGCCGGGCTTGCTTTGTTACACATCTCACCCCAACACATATATAAATAAGTAAATATTTTTTCGTATTATATTACGTACGAAAAAATATCAACTAAAAATATTTAAGCATAATCTCCAATCCATAATATAAACCGAATATAGAGTAAAGTTATATATATACAAAGCTACCGGCAAGTCATCCTTGGCTGAACAACAATGGCCTTTTTCCCACATTCAAGGCTTTAGATGAGACAATCCATTCACACTTTCGTATTCACTCCTCTCCAGTATTATCTAAGATTCCCTAACCATTAATAATACTAATAATGAACGTAAATAACCAAAAAATATGAGAGCAAAAGAGGTGTTGTGAAAATTCTCTCGTTTGTGAATGTAGTTGTTGTTCCAAGATTTTTGGAGAAAAATAACAAAGGAAAACAAAACATTTGGAGAAAAGATGAAATGATCTTTCAAGTTTGCAAGTGGGCATTGTCTTGCTCTCTTGAAGTAAAGGGTGTTTCGTACTTATAGATCTTTCTACCAGTTTCCAATTGCTCATTAATGTTTTGGTTTTGCTGCATAGGCTCGTCTTCCAATAGCTTCGTACATTTATAACAGTTTTATATGTTTTTTTTTTTTTTTTTGGGCAAAAACAGTTTTATATGTTTATCAATTAGTCTTGACTCTTGAATATATTATAAGTTTATATTTTATTTCCTCGAGAGGGGCGTGAAGCCATGACCCTTGAAGCAGCTTATATGAAAGGTGCATATATGATGCACGTAGGAGGTGCTACACTATGCACATGAATTTATTCTGGTTGTTTACGGAATTTTATTCAAACAAGCCAACCAAAAAAAATATTCAGTATTCATGATCTTCTATTTTACTAAACCAAAGTATTTTTCTTTTGTACTCCTTCTATTTCACAAAAAAGTGTTAGTTTAGATTTTTATTTTTGTTTCACAAAAAATGTCATTTTACATTTTCAATGTGATTTTTACACTAAATTTTCTTATTTATCCTTAAGTCAAGCTACTTTTCATTGAATTTAAACCATTAATTCCTTATCAAATAAGGGCATATATGTATAATAATACAATGTTTTCTTAATTTGTGTGAAATGTGTCAAAATGATACTCTTTGTGAAACGTCATAATATACTGATACGGTGATACATATACATGATCGATAAACCAAACCATTTTCTAAAAGAAAAAAAAAATCAATTGTTCTGTTTTGTAATAAAACTTATTAACAACCTACTTTTACTTTTGAGACTTTGAGTTATATATATAATTTATTTGATAAGCCTTGAGTTACATTTTCTACAAATTACATATTACTAGGGTACACACCTCTAACCAGTGGAGAATTGAAAAGGAAAAATAGTACATTTGTATACTATTTAAGGGAAGTACTGACTATGGTATAAAGAAGGAAGTGTGTACTTGAATAAGTTGTCGAGTTATGTGAAGTCGATATCATATAAGTACACTTTTACATATCTAATTTAATAACTCACATTTTAACCAATAGAAAGTACATTATTTTTTCTTTTTCTTTTAGCTTAATGATCTATTGTCCAGTACTGTTCATGTTTTATTCGGATGATTTTCTCTAGAATGCAATCGTATATCCTTTTTTTCTTCAACACTACTGTCTCAGTGTCTCATCTGTTGTATATTGCAATGCTGCGGTTTCTCTGAGTATAGCAGCAGTGCAAAATAGATTTGTTAATTAAAAAAAAAAAGGTTTTGACTATCTTCTTGACCAAAAATAAAAGAAATTTAACTATCTATAGTCTACACTATAGTGCAATTACAATTTAAAATCAATGGGAAATAAGTAGATTGGTTAAATCTTTCTTTTAAAAAATAAATAAATTCGGATGTGGATTCTAATATATATAGAAAAATACATATTTTTTCTTGATACTAAGGCCGATGATGTAATTGTTGCGTTCGTACCTACACATATTTCACATGTTTTTAGAATCTAGTTCTGATATCAACTCGATTCTAACATCTCTTTATTAATTAACTTTATCGATTTAACTAGACTTTATATCCTATGGATTTAAATGGTTTAATCATTCAGAAAACCAGGATGAAACTAAAATAGACATCTACTAAACTTTTTTTTTTTGGACAAAATGTAAATTTCTATTGCCAAAAGAAACATTTTGTAACTATACAAATTGCTTAGAGAATGAGCTTCTTGTGGCAAAAAAATAAACTAAAAAAACCAGGATGAAACTAAAATAGACAACTTAGACCATGGGCAGTGGTAAACCTTTTACAAGGGTGTGAGTAATAAAAAATATGAAAATAAGAGAATAATCACCGTGGAGTTTACACTCATGTGTGAGTTTACACTCGAGTGTGACTTTTTTCCCTCAGTATTTCTCTTCTTTCTTCTTTCTCTTCTCTCTCTTAAATACATTTAATTAATAAAAAAAATTCTAACACTTTTCTCAAATGTTTGCCAATGTGTATGCTCTAGAAGGATTATGAGTAGGTGAACCTCTGGGAGACCGATGGAGTTTTTGAAAAAATATATATTTGTGAAGAACAAACTAAATCATTTAGCTTTAAGAAACATAAGAAGTAATTCATCTATATCTAGGGTAGAAATTAAATAACCATAAGACAAATCTCCATCACCAAACATTGCAAAGCCTTATAAATAGCTTTCATAGATAGGCACAGTATTGATTAAAATAATAGACACAGCTCTTCCTTTGACCTATTATGGGCTACTAGTAGTAAATGGAGAGTGACTGTCCGGTGAAATTACGAGTGACAACATCTCACTCATTAGGTAATTTCAATTTATTGCTTCTTCAAACCCTAACATTGGAGTTCGTTCCCAAAATCATTCCCATTTAGAAAAGCTCTCGCGTAACTTTTGAATTTCCTAAGAGAATATTTCTCAAGTTACAGTATATTGTACCAATTTAAAAGTATTTTGCCGAAGTTAGTTTGGTTCGGTTTGGTTTTCATTCGGTTCGAGCTAGTTCGGTTCGGTTTCAATTCGGGTTTGTTTAGTACTGTATGGTTTACCACCATTAGTCATATTTAAGTTATCTAGAGCTAGAGAGTGTTTGTGTTACTAAAATTTTATATCAAACAATTTTTATTTTTAGTAACTTGTAAAGTCGTGGCTTAGAATTAAAGATTTTGGGATTAAGTAAATTTAATTTATATAGATAATTATTTTTAAAAACAAATAAAGCATGAATTTAGATTTAAGAGTTATAATATTATTTATTTAAATAAATAAATTATAAAATAAAAAAACAGTTTGGGTTATTTAAACCGAACCGAACCATTCGGGTTGAAAAATAAAAGCTTAACCAAATGGATTGTATGTAAATTTTGAGTTTGGTTTAGACAGGTTTGGATTCGGTTAGTTTGGTTTGGTTTGGTTAGGTTCGGTTAAAATGCTCATCCCTAACTGGAGGTTTGTCTATCTCCAAATAGCTTTCCATAAGAACATGCTAATAGAACTATGGTTTATACTTTATAGTTTCTTAATCAAGCCTATATACTGTATTAGAGACAAATAGAATCATCTCTTAAGTAATGTTTCATTTGATTGAATAGTACTTTGGAAAATTTTCTTTCAAAACCCAGGCTTGGTTGGGCCGAATAATGGACTTGAAGCCCATTACACTAATTTCATTGGTTCTACGTGGTTTGTTAATAATATCAGAGAGAAAGCAAAAAATTCTATAACTTTTCCCACATAAACCGTCGTCCGATGAAACTCTATAACCGCCAATAACCGCCGTGATTTTAAAAATAAATACAAAACTCTCATTCTCCATTAAACCATTTCACACAACACACGAAAAACTGTTTAATCACAAACACACAAAAATGGAGAAAACAGAGGAAAGCGTCGGAATCAGAGTTTACACGGCGACTCCGCCGCAAAAACCATCACCATCACCACCGTCTCGTTCACCAAAACCCGTCTCAATCTCTTCACTGCCTACACTACCGGCAGGAGCCGCCGCCGGAGGAGGAAGAGGTCGAAAACGTCGCATGGTAGCGCAAGGAGTTCAAAAAACGGTTTCGAAGACATCAATGCTCGTCAACTTCCTTCCGACAGGAACTCTCTTGATGTTCGAAATGGTTCTTCCATCAATCTACCGTGACGGAGACTGTAACGGAATCAACACACTCATGATTCATCTCCTCTTGCTTCTTTGCGCAATGTCTTGTTTCTTCTTCCATTTCACCGACAGTTTCAAAGCCTCCGATGGAAAAATCTACTACGGTTTCGTGACGCCACGTGGACTCGCGGTGTTCATGAAACCGCCGCCTCCGGAGTTTGGAGGGGGAGATGTGATAGCGGAGGCGGAGATTCCAGTGACTGATGAGAGGTATAAGTTGAAGGTTAATGACTTTGTTCATGCAGTGATGAGCGTTTTGGTGTTTATGGCGATTGCGTTTTCGGATCGAAGAGTCACTGGATGTTTGTTTCCAGGGAAAGAGAAAGAGATGGATCAAGTTATGGAGAGTTTTCCAATAATGGTTGGAATTGTTTGTAGTGCTTTGTTTCTTGTTTTTCCGACCACTCGATATGGTGTTGGTTGCATGACTGGTTGATTAATTTCATTTTTATGTTGTTGGTTTATTTTAGTATCTATTTCGTATTTTCCTTGTAATTTAGATTATCTGAATTAAACTCCATTGTTCTACTATTTGTCAGCTATATTGTATTGTTAAATAAAATGTTGTGTTGAAACTATCTAGACTAGTTTGATAGAAGTACATTAATGTCACATCAACGGTTAATTTAAACAAACGAAACTTCCTAGCCAAACAGATTTACTTAAACTTGTGCAACACCCAATCGATATAAGTGTAGGTATTATCTATTTATCTTCATTATTTTTTTTTACGCATTCAAAAAAAAAAATTTCTTACAAAGACACGAATCAGATGCTATATCTCTGGTTATTTTGATCGAACAATAAGATAATGTTTGTTTTAGGATCATAAACTATGCAGTTAATTACCATCGAGTCCGTGATGTAGTGACGCCTTTGTGGGCTTTGTCTTTTTGTTGTGGGCCATGTTATGTTGGCCCAAAGTCTTTTTCCACGTTGTTGTTTTGTGTTTATTTATTATATTAGATTTAAGAGTTTTTAGATTTGAGCTTATCAACCCATGAATGAATTGCATATAGTTTTTTTGGGTCGGGATGAAT